GGGTTTCGGGCTTCAGGTTTATGGTTTAGGGTTTAGGGGTTTAGGGTTTAGGGTTTAGGGTTTAGGGTTTAGGGTTTAGGGTTTAGGGTTTAGGGGTTTCTTTAGGGGTTTCGAAGGTTCGAGGCTTCTTCGAAGGCTTGAGCGCTGGCTGAGGAATTGGGACTTCGTGCCTGCCCAACTTCCACCGAAAACCCTGTGCCCCACTTGGAGGTTCATGGTACTTATTAAGCAAATATACCTGTACTTATAACCCAAATTATAACCATGTTAGGGCACTTGAGGGGCTTAAAAGTTGGCTATAAGTACAGTTATCATGGGTAAATAAGTGCCCTGAACCTCCAAGCAGACTCGAAACCCTAAACCCTTCTAAGCCCTGAACTCCTTGGGATGCTCCCTCTTATACTAACAGTCCTTAATGGGGAGTATAGTACCCCCGATTATAATCCTATTAAGGACTGTTAGTATCAGGGCATCCCAAGCCAAACCTCTAAACCCTACTGTACACACTAAGCCATCTTCAGCTGGCCAGGTTCAAGCACATGGCGAAGCAGCTACTTGCGCTTTCAGTGCCTTTGGTTCAGGGCTTTTGCCGAAGGCTCTGCGTCAAGCCTATTAAAACTTAAACCCTCTAGGGCTTGTGGCTTAGGGCTTAGGGCTTAGGGCATAGGGTTTGGGGTTTAGGATTTAGGGTTTACGGTTCAGGGTTTAGGGTTTAGGATTTAGGGTTTAGGCAAGGGTCTGCGCCCCTGCCTCTCCCACATGTTGGCAGGTGCAATTGGGTTCGTCGATGGGGTGAACTGCGTGAGGCTCCTTGCAGGATTTGGGACTAGGGCGGAAAACCCCAAACCCTTACCATGGCTTCGGGTTTAGGGTTTAGGGTTTAGGGTTTAGGGTTTAGGGTTTAGGGTTTAGGGTTTAGGGTTTAGGGTTTAGGGTTTAGGGTTTAGGGTTTAGGGTTTAGGGTTTAGGGTTTAGGGTTTAGGGTTTAGGGTTTAGGGTTTAGGGTTTAGGGTTTAGGGTTTAGGGTTTAGGGTTTAGGGTTTAGGGTTTAGGGTTTAGGGTTTAGGGTTTAGGGTTAGTTTCGGTTTTAGGGTTTAGGGTTTTGGGGTTTTTGGGTTTAGGGTTGGGTTTAGGTTTATGGGGGTTTAGGGTTTAGGGTTTAGGGTTTTGGGTTTAGGGTTAGGGTTTAGGGTTTAGGGTTTAGGGTATTATGTTTTAGGGTTAGGGTGTAGGTCTAGGGTTAGGTTAGGGTTTAGGTTAGGGTTTAGGTTTAGGTTTAGGTTTAGGGTTTAGGGTTTAGGGTTAGGGTTTAGGGTTTAGGGTTTAGGTTTAGGTTTAGGGTTAGGGTTTAGGGTTTTAGGGTTAGGGTTTTGGGTTTTGGGTTTTGGGTTTTGGGTTTGGGTTTGGTTTAGGGTTTAGGGTTTAGGGTTTAGGGTTTAGGGTTTATTTGGGGTTTAGGGTTTATTTGGGGTTTAGGGTTTAGGGTTTAGGGTTTAGGGTTTAGGGTTTAGGGTTTAGGGTTTAGGGTTTAGGGTTTAGGGTTTAGGGTTTAGGGTTTAGGGTTTAGGGTTTAGGGTTTAGGGTTTAGGGCTTAGGCTCCATTGGGGGGCTGGAACGTAGGGTTTAGTAAGGGTCCAAGGCTGGAGAGGCAGATCAAGAACCAAGTCCCTGACACCTAAACCCTGAGCCCTAAACGCTTGACAGTTTAGGGTTTAGGGTTTAGGGTTTAGGGTTTAGGGTTTAGGGTTTAGGGTTTAGGGTTTAGGGTTTAGGGATTAGGCTTTAGGCTTTAGGGTTTAGGGCAACCCTAAAAACCCCACAGCCTCAAAGCCTAAACCCTACACCCCAACCCTCTAGCCCTAAACCCCCCCCCCCCCAAAAAAAAAAAAAAAAAAAACCTACCGAGCTGCGCCCAGGATGCTTACAAGAGGTTCAGGCCTGGGATCCTACAAGCCATTCTGCAACGGGTTTCGGGTTTCGGGTTTTGAGGTTTAGGGTTTAGGGTTGCGGGTTTGGGGTTCAGGATTTAGGGTTTAGAGTTCATAGAACTTGTTTGGATTATGGGGCTCAAACAAAGAGCTTATGGGGGCTTATAGGGTTTATAGAGATTATGGGGCGTTTGTTGGGGGGCCAGCCTGGCTTGCAGGTTTAGCGAGCTGTTATCGGGTATCGTAGGGCTGACAAGGCTCGGGAATGTAGCGCTTTATGATAGGGTTTAGGGCCTGTTTAGGGTTTCGGGTTTAGGGCTTAGGGTTAAGGTTTTGGGTTTAGGGTTTAGGGTTCAGGGTTTCGGGTTTGTGGGGCTTCTGGGGCGTATAGGGTTTTTACAGGAACCGCTGTTTAGACCCGTTTTGCATCCGGCCTGCCACCCAAAACCTCCTGCCAACAAGTTCAGGATTCAGGATGCCTCACAATCATGGGTTCCCCTTCTACCCCCCTCCATAAACTCCCCCCCATAAGTAAGGCTACTGAGGGAAACTAAGCCTGACTCAGGTTATCCAAGGCCCTACACAACTACACCCTCAAGCTCAAACCTTCAACCCTTTAACCCTCAACCCTATACCCTTTAACCCTAAAACCCGCAACCCTAAACCCCAAACCCTAAACCCTAAACCCTAAACCCTAAACCCCAGAAGAATGAAGCCGAAACGAGGGTCCAGTGCAGGGCCGCGATGTACGAGGCCCCGAAATCCGACCTGAAGAGGGAGCTTGAAGGCTTAGGGTTTAGGGCTTAGGGCTTAGGGTTTAGGGTTTAGGGTTTAGGGTTTAGGGTTTAGGGTTTAGGGTTTAGGGTGTAGGGTGTAGGATTTAGGGTTGAGTCCCCCCTAAGCCTAACATCCTGCCCATACACCCTTGAAGCGCGTAAAAAAAAAAGTCCTAAGCACTCAAGTACAGGCAGACCCTCAGAGTTTTAGGGCTTGGGCTTAGGACCCTCAGTAGCCAACCCTAAAGCCTAAACACTACTATTGTAAGCAGACACCAGTTTCGACCTATTTAGGAACCTGGACCCTGAGGGCAAAGCTTCAGCGCCCTAACTACCCAAACGCCACTCTTTTGCCTCTTCCAGGAAAAGTTCGACCCATTTGGGGTCAGCTTTCCGGGTTTGTTTGGGGGTGGGGGGAGGGGGGGGGGGGGGCGAAGCAGCATGGTTCTAGGTTTCAGGGTGGCTGGGCTTTCGGGTTTTTGGGCTCCGCGGTGGTTTTCGAGGGTTGGACCGTCATGTTGCACTGCTTTTCGTTTATCCAGGGTCTAGAATCACAAGTTTCGGAAAATTATTCTGCGACTGCAGCTTGTTGGGGTGACACGCCATGGTTAAGGACTTACGTAGCAAGGCTTGGGGCCCTGAAGGCCTTGGGCTCCAGGAATCTTGAAAGCCCGACGCACCGCCAAGTTCTTGACAGAGGGTCTAAAATTGTTTGGGGGGGGGCCCTTAGTAAAGCCAGTGCAAGTTTAAACCCTAAACCCTAAACCCCAAACCCTAAACCCTAGACCCTAGACCCTAGACCCTAGACCCTAGACCCTAGACCCTAGACCCTAGACCCTAAACCCTAAACCCTAAACCCTAAACCCTAAACCCGGGCCTTTGGTTCAAACCCTCATCCCTAGCCGAGGAGCTCCTTGATGTCACTGCGCTCAAGCCAATTGCCTGGGAAGGGAAAGCTTGACGGAACGGGATTTAAGCCAGGGTTTGGGGTCTGGGGGCTTGGGGTTTGGGGTTTAGGATTTAGGGTTTGGGGCTTGGGGTTTGAGGCTTAGGGTTTAGGGTTTGGGGTTTGGGGTATGGGGCTAAGGGTTAGGGGGTTTAGGGACTAGGGCTGCAGGGCTTGGGGATTTAGGGCCTAGGGCCGATTAGGGCAACCGGAATAGAGACTGCAGGGCACGGGCCAGTGCCCTTGAGCCCTGTCCTACCTTCTTGCCCTAACTAACCCCAAAACATACCTTGTATGGGGCCACCCCCCAACCTGACCGCGAACCCCAAACGCACCACGAACCGCAGGGGGAAAAAGGAAACCCAAACCAAAATCCCAAACCCCCATTATAAAGCCTAGACCCGACACCCGAATCCTTAACCCGCGACCCTCAACCCTCAGGCCGAACCCTGCAAACCCACCACCAACCAAAAGGGGAAACCCTAGACAAACAACCCGAACCCGAAACACTAAACCCTAAACCCTAGCTAAGGCCACCATGAACAGGGCGGCGAGTGAAAACCCGCCCCTACACCCTAACCCTAACCCGAAACCCCAAAACCCTAAACCCATCATCACCCACGTACCATGAGCATGGCAGGAAAACTTCAACCTGACCCAAAGAAACCCTAAAACCCTAAACCCAGAAGTCAAGAGCCCGAAGCTTCCCATAATGACCTAGGCACTGTCCCGCTGGCTCTCGTCCTTGGACCAGACCCCGATGCCGTACCTTTTGCTACCACTAAAGGGTATAGGGTTCATGGTTCAAGGGAATCCTAAACCCTAAACCCTAAAACCTAAACCCTAAACCCTAAACCCCAAACCCCAAACCCCAAGGTCGGAGTTTAGGATTCCGGGTTCACAAATTTAAGGCCTACGGGTTTTCTGAAACCCCGAACCCTAAACCCTAAACCCTAAACCCCAAACCTTAAGGCGAGGACCCGACCAGCTTTGGACGCCCCGGGATCCAGTTCTGTAAAGCGAAGAGGGTGTAGGGTTTAGGGTTGAGGGTTTAGGGGTTAGGGTTTAGGGTTTAGGGTTTAGGGTTTAGGGTTTAGGGTTTAGGGTTTAGGGTTTAGGGTTTAGGGTTTAGGGTTTAGGGTTTAGGGTTTAGGGTTTAAGGTTTAGGGTTTAGGGTTTGGGGTTTGGGGTTTGGGGTTTGGGGTTTGGGGTTTGGGGTTTGGGGTTTGGGGTTTGGGGTTTGGGGTTTGGGGTTTGGGGTTTGGGGTTTAGGGATATAGCATGTGCGTGTATTGTCCGTAACAGTGTAGGGTTTAGGCTTTCGGGAGGAGTCTAGCATTAAAGTAGCGATTACAGCTCGGGACATTTGGATTTCGCTCGGATCTTGTGCTCAAGGGGCCTTGCTTATCAGAGTAAAGCACTCTCGCAGGTGGAGGGGTTCTGAATCAGTGAACAGAACTCAAACCCGAAACCCTAAACCCTAAACCCTAAACCCTAAACTCTAAACCCTAAACCCCAAACCCTAAACCCTAAACCCTAAACATGTGAGGGACATTCTGCAGGTTCTCGGAGATGGCACCCCCTTGACATGTTGAAGCTCCAAAACCGAGATTTCCGAACCGGTCATGTCCTCACGAAACGCCCTCAACCACGAAAGAGAATTTCGGGTTTCGGGTTTAGGGTTTAGGGTTTAGGGTTACCCAACATCTTGAACCTTCAAACTCCTCCGCAGGAAAACAGGAGGACAGATCACCAGAAGCATGCGATCAGGTGGTTGATCGCCAGCATCAAGCCCAGGTAGGAACCTCGTTTCACAGTTTAAGCTTTAGAGTTCGGGTTTTGGAGCTTCGGGCGCGGATGCGCGTTGCACAGGAGAGGGCCAGACAGTGCAACCTGGTCCCTGAAACGGTGAGGGGTCTGAAATGCATGGGCCCTTGTAAGACGCACAGCGTCCCCCCCCCCCCCCCCCCACGATCATAGGGATAGAGGCAAGTCTAACTAGCTATGCGTGACAACACCCCTCATTCTCTTCAAAGCGTTTTGGTATGGAGACCTGAACCCTAAACACATAGTTTAGGGTGTAGGGTTTAGGGTTTAGGGTTTAGGGTTAAGTATTAGGGATCAGGGTCTCGGGTTTAGGGTTAGGGTTTAGGGCTCCACTCAGACACCCAGCTGCCCCTCTTGGCCAAGAGACCAAGCTTCAGAGCCATCATGGTGTAGGCCGAGAAGAAGTAGTTCGCCACCAGCATGAACCTCCGGGGCCCCTAAACCCTAAACCCTAAACCCTAAAACCTAAACCCTAAACCCTAAACCTGTGGAGCCTAACCCCAGCAAGCCCAACATCCAACCTACATGCGCTCGTACTAAGGCTGCGAGTTAAGGGCTTAGGGTTCGGGTTTCGGGGTTGGGTTTTGGGTTTTGGGTTTCGGGTTTAGGGTTTAGGGTTTAGGGTTCAGGGGACCCGGGCACACCCTGAGCCCGAAACAGCAAGTGCCGGCGCGGCACTCGCGCTCAAGCTTCGCAACCCGCAGGAGCCGCACGAGTCGAACCATCCGGAGGATACGCAGGAAGCGGCCTCTGACTTTGGGGGTTTAGGGTTTAGGGTTTAGCAGGGTTCAGGGTTCAGGGTTTAGGGTTTAGGGATGAGGACATCCTTCAACCTTCCCCAGCTTCAGTACCGGGTTTAGGGTTTAGGGTTAAAGGTTAAGGGTGAAGCAACCTAGACCATAAGGAGCATACAACAAACGAACTCCTCAAGTGGCCCATGAATTTGATCCAGCCCCACATGAACTTAAGCCCAAAGGCCCTAAGCCGCAAGCCCTAAACCCTAAGCCCCAAACGCTAACCCTAAACCTAAACCCTAAGCCCTAAGCCCTAAGCCCTAAACCCTAAACCCTAGCCCTAAACCCTAAACCCCAAATCCTAAAAGCCCAAAAGACTAGCCGGTGCCAGTGTAAGCCGGGCCTGACCGGTAGAGCGGGTTCGTGGAGGCCTGCCACAGGGATGTGGCTTCATACCCTCAGACTCTGAATCCCGAAAACCCTGAACCCTAAACCCTAAACCCTAAGCTTCTTAAATTCCAAACTCACCTCGACTAACCCCTCAGCCCTGAGACCCCCCCAAGACGCCACAAGCCCTAAACCCCCATGCACTCTAAGACCTCTCAGCCTGGGAGGGGGGGACGAGGGTTTAGGGTTTAGGGTTTAGGGTTCAGGGTTCAGGGTTTAGGGTTTAGGGTTTAGGGTTTAGGGTTCAGGGTTCAGGGTTTAGGGCCTGTGAGGTTTCTACCCCTAAACCCAGTTTTGAGAAGGCCTTGAGCTCGGGTTGTTCATCAGATTCTCCGAAGGGCTTCGGGTTCAAGGTTTGGCGTTCAGGGTGTGGAAAGAACAGAGAGTCCTGCGTCTTTTGTTTTCAAGAATCCTCTACCCCTCAAGACGGGGAGAAGAGCTGCCACAAAGCGAAGGCGATGCTAAACCCTAAACCCTAAACCCTAAACCCTAAACCCTAAACCCAAACCCTAAACCCTAAACCCTAAACCCTAATCCCTACGTGTCCCCGTGCCTGCAGCGCGTTGAGGACAATTACGGACAGGTCGACCAGGATGACGACCAAGTCAACCTGCAATTCAGGGTTTAGGGTTTAGGGTTTTAGGGTTTAGGGTTTAGGGTTTAGGGTTTAGGGTTTAGGGCTTAGGGCTCAGGGCTCAGGGCTTAGGGCAGGGTTTAGGGTTTAGGATTTAGGGTTTAGGGCTTAGGGCCTAGGGCTTAGGCCGCTTGATTGAGTGCTCAGTGCTTAGAGAAATAGGTGCAGTTGCTAAGCTGCCAGGGGGCCCCCCCAAGCACAGGTTTTGGGGCTCAAGAAGAGTCGAAGCCCGTACCTGTAGAACGTCCGCCTTGTCAGCATGGCCCAATCCCCAAACTCGAATCGTAAACGCCGTAAACCGTGACTACGAGCACAGCGGCCAAGGCAGGACGAAGCCGAGTTTTCTGAAAGCTTGGAGCGACGGGCCAAGTGGCCCGCTTGAGCCCTCCGACTTAGGGTTTGGAGTTTACAGGGATCTCAAGGGTCTACTTGGAAGCCCTTGTGACTTAGTAAGGGTTTAGTAACGGTTGGTAAGGTGGGTTATGGGGATGATAATTGGAAAACAGGGGATGCAGATGTAGACTAAGTCAAAAGAGCTTCTAAGTAAGGTACCACCGGAAGCCCCTACGTTGAACCATCCGAATGCCTCCCATGTCTAAGTCCTCAAAGCACAAGAACATCCAAGAACAAGTGCTTGGCACTCCCTCAACCGTAAACCCTAAACAGTAAACCCTAAACCCTAAACCCTAAACCCTAAACCCTAAACCCTAAGGGCCCAGCTAGTAGCCAGGAGTGGAGGTAGATCTTCGCCAGCTTCCGCGGCCTTCGCACCAGGAAATCCCGGGACACAGGCAACGATGGGGCCTGGTGAGTACATGGAGGATCCCCCAATTACGAGGGTTTAGGGTTTAGGGTTTAGGGTTCAGGGTTCAGGGTTTAGGGTTTAGGGTTTAGGGTTTAGGGTGTAGGGCTTGGGTCTTGGGTCTTGGGCATCGTCGCCCGACGGGATGCATCGCGCTCCCCAGTCTGTTCTGCATGTTGGGCTGTTGGACGGGTTCCCTGCGTGCATGACATATCTGACATTTGGCGGTGTTGCAAACATGACACTCAACCCGCCGGAAACCCTAAACCCTAAACCCGAAACCCTAAACCCCAAACGCTAAACCCCGAAACCCCAGACCCTAAGCCAAACCCTAAACCCGGGGGGGGGAGGGGGGCGGTCAAGAAGCTCCCGCAGGTCCTGGTGTCTTTTTGGAGTGCTCTTGGGCCCCTTTGGGGTCTGTGCCGGATGAAGCTGAGGGTTTAGGCTTTAGGCTGTAGGGTTTAGGGTTTAGGGTTAGTGTTTCTGGCCTTGTAGGCTCAACCGAACTGACATGGGTGGCTGATCCTCCAAGAATGGATCTTGCATCATGGTCCAACATTTTTTGATTGACCCCATGCTTAGACGATCTGTGAGGAGTCCTTAAACCCTAAACCCTAAACCCTAAACCCTGAACCCTGAACCCTGAACCCTAAACCCTAAACCCAAAGCATGGAGACAGATGACGGCAGCGGCCACATGCTAAATTTAAAGTATCCTGAATGAAGGCACGATGCCAAAACGGCGGTCCTAGCTCTGGGTCTTAGGCCCTCGAAGATCTCAAGCCTGATCCCAAAACAATCTCGCCCTCTACCGACGAGATGATGCCTCATCTCGATCGCACCACCAACCTGGCAAGCCGTGCTGAAGATTCTTCCGGGCCTTCAAGCCCTTAAACCCTGAACCCTTAACAGGAAGAAACGTGGAGGTGCCTCGTCCTCTTGCACTTGAGGAAATTTACTCTGAACCCTAAACCCTAAACCCTAAACCCTAAACCCTAAACCCTAAACCCTAAACCCTAAACCCTAAACCCTAAACCCTAAACCCCACACCGCAAGCCCCTGCCACCAGAAAGCTTCCAGCGCGCGGGTGGGCTAGAGCTACTTGGCACACTGCCGGGGCCTAGATAGTCAGAATAGGGTTTTGGGGTTATGCGGACCGAAGTCTGTGCGATGAAGGTCAAACAGAGTGTTTTGTACACTCACAAGAGTATCATTCAAGACTCATACTTTAAAGGATGCGAAGAATGCGTTGTAAAGAAGCCTCAATAGCAGCGAAAGAGTTGTGCCATTCGCGGTAGGTCGAATCAGCAAGGTCGGTAGCCCGCGGGCAAGTTCTCATGAGAGTTCGGGTTTTGGGTTCATTATAGTATACTGTTCTATAGGAATCATAAGGGAAGAATATTGGTAAGTATTCCGACCCCTATATTACACAACGGTCCCGGGTAGGGTTTCGGGTCTAGGGGTTCCCTCGTTCAGGGTAAGATTTGGCAGTCTTGATGCAGGGCCGGCTGAAAGATAGGGCTTCCTCTGGGTTTCAGGGCTTAATTCTCAAGGTTCCTGGCGGCTTGCGGGCTAGGGTTGTTTAAGGTTTAGGGTTCAGGTTTTCGGTTCTAGAACCTTCCCCTGAAAACGACATGCACATTTGCTGGGCCACCGCACCTGGGTATCTGGGTATTGGCACCCCTAAATACCCCAAATATACAGTAATCCCCTGTGTAAGGACCCTCAAATGGCTACCCAAATTTTCGGAAAGCCCGACCTGAATGCCAAAGATGAGGTGAAGAGGAACCTGGCTGGCAAAGGGATGATGTGACCCGTGGGACCTGGGGCTTAGGGGAGTTTAGCGTGGGGGATGTTCCCCCTTACCCTAAACCCTAAACCCTAAACCCTAAACCCTAAACCCTAAACCCTAAACCCTAAACCCTAAACCCTAAGACCCTGAACCCTAAAGACATTCTAAGAGGGGCTTTGGGGGAGGCTGGGTTGACTCTGGCATCGACAGCCCTACTTAACCCCTAAACCCTAAAACCTAAACCCTAAACCCTAAGCCCTAGACCCCTCAACCCTTAACCCCTAGAAGTGCCAGAAAGCCCCCAAAAGCCTCTGCTGCGGCTCCTGCTGCAGATCCGTGAACCTCTAAAACGGTTTAGGGTTTAGGGTTTAGGGCTTAGGGTTTACGGTTTAGGGTTTAGGGTTTAGGGTTTAAGGTTTAGGGTTTACCCCTGCGCGCCACGTCCACCGAACGCAAGACGCCTGAGCCCTAAACCCGACATGAGCCCCTTGGAACCCCAGGTTTCTTTGCAGCCCAGCTTCATCCAAGACCCAGTAGGTAAAGGAGATGTATGTCAGCGTGCTCAGAATCTGCTCGAATGCCTGTAGGGTTTAGGGTTTAGGGTTTAGGGTTGCGGGTTGAGGGTTGAGGGTTCAGGGTTCAGGGTTCAGGGTTCAGGGTTCAGGGTTCAGGGCAGCTTGACGGGTTTACGAAAATAGGGGACCCCCAATATGGATCCCCGCAAAGTAGGATCCCCTTAGAATAAGGACCCCAATAAGGACCCCAATTTTCAAAAAATGCCATTTCTCTGTCTGGTGCCTGCACTGTCTAAGGCTTAGAGAGTAGAGGTTTAGGCTGTTTAGGGTCCAAACCACACAAACCCCAAAGAATCAAACTTCGGGTGTGATAACCATCGAGAAGCCGTGGGATGGGAGTCCTGGGTTCAGGAATTGTGGTTTCGGGTTTAGGGTTTAGGGTTGGGGGGGGGGGGGGGGGGGGGGTAGGTTTAGGGAGGAATACGACCTGTGTCGCGTCCGGTGTGTGCAGACTTCTGTTGGGTTTAAGGTGCAGGGTTTACTGTGTAGGGCATAGGGAGTAGGTTTGGGGTTCGGGGTTTAAGTTTGGGGCTTAACGTAAGCAACCAAGGGGTTGTAAGGGAAGGGGGTCAGAAGTTTGGAAAGGATGCGTCTGGGTGTTGATTGCTGGAGGTCCTTCGTAGCAACCATTGCAAGGCTTACAAATGCTCGGTGGGAGGGGGTTTCGGGCTGGAGGGCTTAAAGGGTTTTCAAGGCTTGGGGATTAGGCAACAGGTCCCCTGAACCCTCTCTAAACCCCGAAGCCCCCCCCTCAGGCGCCTGGTTCAAAGGGAAAAGCTGCAACCTCGGGCAAAGAGGCCGCAAACAGCGACTCTATGTCAAGAATCTTTCGGATTGAAGGGGCTTTGGGTTCAGGGTTTAGGGTTTAGGGTTTAGGGTTAGGGCTTGGGGTCCACAACTTATTCAGGGTCCCAAACCCCTAAACCCTAAACCCTGCAATCCCTTGTTTTTTTTTCCTTCATCTAGGCTGCCCAGTAACCTAGGCTTAAAAAGGGTGCCCCTTTTTTCCTTAAAGGGGTTTATAAGGGAACCTAAACCCCCCAAAAAGGGAGTAAGGGCACTACTGGGCATCCTAGCTTCAGTGGTTTGGGGCACAGCGCTCTTCATCCTGGAGGATCTCGGGGGGGGCGCTTGGGGTCGCAGAGTGTTCGGGCTTGGGCTTGGAACCCTAAACCCTAAACCCTAAGCCCTAAGCCGCAAACAGCAATGAGAATTTAGGGTCTAGGACTTAGGGCGCATTTTGGGTTAGGCTTTAGGATTTGAGGCCTGGACAAATCGCCCTCCCAACTTCTCATCCTAGATCCTAACCCTAAACCCTAAAACCCTGCACCCTAAACCCCTGCACCCTAAACCCTGGCACCCTAAACCCTCAACCTTCAACCCTCAACCCTCAACCCTCAACCCTAAACCCTAAACCCTAAACCCTAAACCCTAAACCCTAAACCTTAACCCTACAGACCGATGCAGACACCGGGGCGGAATCGTCACCATGTCCCAGACGATGAAGATGCTGGCAAGGGCGGCCCAGAGCAGCTGCACGCGGCTATCCTAGGTCATCAAGAGAAAGCCCTCAACGCAAAAAAACATGGGGTTTAGGGTTTAGGGTTTAGGGTTTAGGGTTTAGGGGTTAGGGGTTTGGGGTTTAGGGTTTAGGGTCTAGGGTCTAGGGTCTAGGGTTTAGGGTTTAGGGTTTAGGGTTTAGGGTTTAGGGTTTAGGGTTTAGGGTTTAGGGTTTAGGGTTTAGTACCCCAAAACCCGATGGACCCGGTTCGTCAGAGTCACTATATGGACAATTTGGGAGACTTGCCTGGGGGAGGGGAGTGGAGGAGCTATTCCTCCCAGTCATTCCCTTTAAAGACCCTAAACCCTGAACCCTAAACCCTGAACCCTAAACCTTAAGGCTCAGGGTTTAGGCAGATGCCCCCTGCAGGATTTGAGGGGTCATTGAAGGGGACTTAGGCTTTGGGAGGGCGGGGGCGGGGGGGGGGGGGGCATTGGGCATTTGGACCCTGCGAATTCGAACCTGCTTCCAAAAAATCTCTTAAGCCCAAGAGAGCCAAAAGATCCCAACATCCCTAAGCCCGAGGGTTTAGGGTTTAGGGTTTTGGGTTTAGGCTGCCAAGCAACAGGGCCAACCACGAAATTCTGAACACACCCAACTTCGTCTCTGAAGACGTCGTTGAACCTTTCCAGGTCAGGGTTTAGGTTTAGGGCTTGTCTCTCGAGGAGATGGAGGGGTTTAGGGTTTAGGGTTTAGGGTTTAGGGTTTAGGGTTTAGGGTTTAGGGTTAAGGGTTTAGGGTTTAGGGTTTAGGGTTTAGGGTTTAGGGTTTAGGGTTTAGGGTTTAGGGGTTAGGGTTTAGAGCTTTAGAGAGACATTGCGGGGGATTAAGGTGTAGGGTACGTAGCACAGTAACCATATTATAATAACGGCACCCTGTTGGGGGTGGTAGCTTTATAAGGGAACTAAGAACCCCCCAAAAAAAGGGGGAAAAGGGTACCACTGGGCTACCAAGCAGGGTTTCGGGTTGTTCTAGACGTTGAACATGTCTGCAGAGATTCAAGGGCCCTCGGGGCTTCAAGCCCGCGTGTGATGCTCCACGGTCCTGAAAAGTCGCGCTATGCCCAAACCCTAAACCCTAAACCCTCAAACCTAACCTGGGCTTCTGGCAAAGACCCCCAGCACAGTGAACCCACGAATGCTCAGGGGCCTGGAGGGATGTTACTCGTCAATGCAAGGCTCCCAGGCCCCCTACTATAGGGGTTTGGGGGTTTAGGGTTTAGGGTTTAGGGTTTCGGGTTTCGGGTTTCAGGTTTCGGGTTTCGGAGAGGGTGCTTGCGCCCATCCACTTCTCTTTGACACGCCAGGCAGACAGAGAAAGCCCGAAAACGCCCACCTGCATAGCATTTAACGTGGAGGCGTTTTGGGCGTCAAAAGACACCCGAAACTAAGAGGAGAGCAGGCCTATGAAAATTGACCACCTTTAAGGCAAAGCAAGGTGATAGAAACCGAAGGCACAGACTTAATCCTTGAATCTACTGGACACCTTAGCCAAAACTAGAACGGTATGAACGGCTCAGCATAATGCAATGAAGCAAAGTACGCAGGACGAAAACAGAGATAGAAAAATAGCGAATCCCTCCTTTTCATTTGCCAAAGCATGTAAAAGCATATTGGCATAATAAGAAATACCACCCAAGTACTGCGCATATGTAAACTAATATACACGATGTATATACATACATATATATACACACATGCATACATATAGGATGAGGATGCACATGTTTCAAGTGAACTATATAGCTGGGTGCGAGATTGCAGAAGCCATGAATTTTCATGAGGCAAAGATAGAGGAATTGCATCTTTCCGTCGACATCTGCACGAACAACTGGAAGTGATCACCAGGAGACAGAAGCTTGGACTAATCACATGAAAAGGTTTCGGGTTTAGGGTTTAGGGTTCAGGGTTCAGGGTTCAGGGTTTAAGGTTTAGGGTTTAGGGAGAAAACGCAAAGACATGGACATCGACAAAGAAGACCAAGAAACTCCTTAAACGGTGGGTTAGTGACTAGGTGCAAGAAGGTCGGGCGTTTGGGCTTCAGGCGTTCCTACGGCTGAAGAAGGTACTCGAGTGGCGTTTAGGGTGTTTAGGCTTTAGGGTTTATGGTTTGGGGGGCTGAACTCTTGCCCACGCGCAGGCCTCAGCGTGCGCGTCCTCATGTCCGATGTCGCACCGATTCGCCGGTTGCGACCGATTTCTTAGCAGGGTTCGGGGTTGGGGCGGTTGGGGATCTTGGAGATTTCCCCCCACCCTTCAAACCCGAACATAAACCATAAACCCTAAACCCTAAACTTGCATGCACGTGCATTGCCTACTTGGAGGAACATATAACCCCAATTGTAACTGTACTTATAAGCCCCCCAAGTGCCCTGAGTCCTCTAAGTAGCGCTGTTTAGCAAAATGTGAGGCTGCTGTCGCACCTCTGTGTTAAGGTTGATGGCCAAATTTGTAGAGGATATTAGACCCTAAACCCTAAACCCTAAAACCCTAAAACCCTAAAACCCTAAAACCCTAAAACCCTAAAACCCTAAAACCCTAAAACCCTAAATCCCTAAAACCCTAAACCCTAAACCCTAAACCCTAAACCCTGGATGAGACTAGAGGGTGGGCTTAGGCTTGAGGGTCGCGCTAAAGACCTGGGCATCACAAGGCTTAGTTAGGTATACAACAGGGAGCCAAGCCCCACTAAGGACTTAGGGTATCCAAGGCCCCGAGGGTTTAGGATGTAGGGTTAGGATTAAGGGTGTAGGGCTTAGGGTTTAGGGTTTAGGGTCTAGGGTTTAGGGTTTAGGGAGCGCTTGCGAAGTTACATTAGCTGCGGATGTTGCTGGTGCTTTCTACCTCAGGCAAAGCCCACAACCCCACCTTGCAACGACCTTTGACATGTTTCTTGCTGAGGAAACGCCCACAAAAATGTACCATTCTTGCGTAGAAGGGCAATATGGGGATTCTTGTTCTCAAGCTCCCTGCTTCAAGATCCCGAGTTGGAAAGGGGGCCAAGTTGGGGAGCATATCACCAGGCAGGGGTATTTTCAACCCACCCCAACGCCCACCCACTCTCGACCACAATCAATGTATTTAGGGTTTAGGGTTTAGGGTTTAGGGTTTAGGGTTTGGGGTTTAGGGTTTAGGGTTTAGGGTTTAGGGTTAGTGTGTTCAATTCTAGGGGCTTCTGGGGCCTGGACTCCTTGGACGAAGAGAGCACGACAGGACTTTCCTAAAGCAGCGATCTACTCTCACCGTATTGTCTGCCGTCCTCGTTCGATATTCCTAAACCAAGCCCCAGAAGCCCCTAGAATTGAACACATTAACCCTTAACCCTAAACCCTACACCCTACACCCATAACCCTAAACCCTAAATACATTTATTGCAAGGACACGGGGGTCTTGTGGGTTAACTCGCCTAAGTCAAGGACGAATATTCAAAATCTGAAGCCTTCATGAATCAGATATTAGATGGCACGTGAGTAAGAAAGAGAGCCTTGGGGTGCCGCTGGTCTTTCTGCACGAAACTAAACCCTAAACCCTAAAGCCTGAACCCTAAACCCTAAACCCTAAACCCTAAACCCTAAACCCTGAAACCTAAACCCTAAACCCTAAACCCTGAACCCTGAAACCTAAACCTTCCTCACAACATGGCCCAGGCACGCTTGGCCTGGTCCCAGCTGATCTTCCACGCAGCATGCAGGTCCAGGTCCGCTCCTGGGGTGAAGGAAGGGGCTTTTGTCAAAGTGGGCTGAGGGTTTAGGGTTTAGGGTTTAGGGTTTAGGGTTTAGGGTTTGGGGTTTAGGGTTTAGGGTGTAGGGTTTAGGGTGTGGGGTTTAGGGTTTAGGGTTTAGGGTTTAGGGTTTAGGGTTTAGGGTTTAGGGTTTAGGGTTTAGGGTTTAGGGTTTAGGGTTTCGGTTGAAGGTTTGGGGTCGATGGTTTAGGGTTTAGGGCTTTAGGGTTTTACGGTGAGGTTTGTAGGGTTTGTGGGGTTTGCAGGGTTTTCAGGGCTGGTAAGGTTCAAGGATTTTCGGGTTTGCAAGGTTTTCGGGGCTTACGGTTGGGGATCGAAGGTCCACCAGCCAAGAAGAAACCAGGAGCCAACCTGGTTTATGGGAGGGGGTGTCCACTCCAAACCCCTGAAACCCTGACACCCTAAGCCCGAACCCTAAACCCTAAACCCTAAACCCTGAACCCTTCACCCGCAAATCAAGGCGAACCCCTGCATGGGGCCAAAGGGTCTCAGGGCCTTGGGTTTACATGTACCTTCAAAACGGAAGCAGGAACCTATAACCACCCTTAATGTAGGGTTTAGGGTTTAGGGCTTAGGACATCACGCCCAAAATTTGAAGGAAAATACAGCCCAAGGCAGGACTTCGGGGGGAATGAGGGCGACCATACAACATCTCTGCGGAAGCCAAAGCTTTACCCTCAGCTTTACCTGAATTCCAGAAATTTTATGGTTTGGGGATTGGGGTTTAGGGTTGGTTTAGGGTTTAGAGCCTAGGGCTTAGTGGTTGGAGTAAACTTAGCCCGGATGCCAAACTTACCGGCATGTTTCCGCGGGAACCGAACCCTCATAAAGGAGTTTAAGGTTTCTTGGGCTTAGGGCTTAGGGTTTAGGGCTTGGGATACTGACAACCCGACGTTTGGGATGATGCTCTAGGGCTTCAGGATCTTAGGGTTCGGGGGCTTGGGGTTCATCCGTTGACTTGAGGGTTTTGGTTGGTTTCTTGGATTCTAACCGACCGAAACCCCTAATGCACTTGAAGCCAGAAACCCTAACCCTAAACCCTAAACCCTGTAAACCCTGTAAACCCTATAAACCCTAAACCCTAAACCCTAAACCCTGAACCCTGAACCCTGAACCCTGAACCCTGAACCTAGAAGGAGCCCAGAACCGAAAAAAGGGTCAAGGGCACCACTGGACTACCAAGCTCTTCGTCAATTCTCTCGTTGAGGCCACCCTAAACCCTGAACCCAGTGTCGTGGAAGTGCATCCACAGCCTTTGTCGCGCTGCCGTCCTGATGCGCTTAGAGCCTAAACCCTAAACCCTAAACCCTAAACCATAAACCCTAAACCCGAAACCCTAAACCCTAAACCATAAACCCTACACACTGTGTAGGAGTAAGGGTTGCGGCTTTCTGGGTTTAAGGTGCTGAAAAAAGGGTGGGGATGAAGTGATCCTTATGCCATCTCTCTATCATCTCCACGTGTACCCCTAGATTCACACCTGCAGGGTCCTGCTATTTGCTTAAGCAACCGACAAAAAACAAAGAATATTCTTCCTTATCAGATCAGTGTAGGGAGTATTGTTCCTTATTTGTTTGGGGGGTTTTAAGCAACTTGTAGAAAATAACCCTAAACCCTAAACCCTAAACCCTAAACCCTAGACCCTAAACCCTAAACCCTAAACCCTAAACCCTGAACCCCCAAGCCCTAGGTTCAGGGCTTGGGACGTTCAGGGCTTCGGGCGTCGAGGGTGGGGGCTTCCTCGGCTTCAGGGGCCACGGGCTCAAGGATGAAAGTCCTAAACCCTAAACCCTAAACCCTAAACCCTAAACCCTAAACCCTAAACCCTAAACCCTAAACCCTAAACCCTAAACCCTAAACCCTAAACCCTAAACCCTCCTAAACCCAAAAAAGCCCAGAACGCTCTGAACACCCTAAACGCCATAACCCTCCTAAACCCCAAACGCCCTAAACCCTAAACCGCAAAAAACTCTTAACCCTAAACCCTAAACCCTAAACCCTAAACCCTAAACCCTAAACCCTAAACCCTAAACCCTCAGGTTCAAGAATGAGGGTGGGAGTGCGGCCAAAGAAGCACGGACTGCCTGGGTTTAGGGTTTAGGGTTTAGGGTTTAGGGTTTGGGGTTTAGGGTTTAGGGTTTAGGGTTTAGGGTGTAGGGTTTAGGGTTCAGGGTTCAGGGTTTAGGTTTTACGGGTCAGGGCTTACCAAACCCAACCCCTGAACCATGGGGCCCTCCCTGACACCCTGAACTCTGAGGACACTCGAATACAAGGCCACAAGGGGACTATGACGAGGCTGCCCAGTAACCTAGGCTTAAACAGGGTGCCCTTTTTTGCTTCAAGGGTTTATAGGTCCCCTCCAAAAAGGGAATAAGGGTACTACTGGGCATCCTAGATGAGAGATCCGAGGCAGCTTGTACCATCAACCGAAGCCCGAGACGCTAACGCTCCCTGACCCTGAACCCTGAACCCTGAACCCTAAACCCTAAGCCCTAAACCCTAAACCCTAAACCCTAAACCGCGACCCTGTCCTGGCCCTCCAACAGGCGGATTGCAAACTCTCCCCAGCGCATCTTGTAGTTGATCGAGCCGGTAATGTCCTGAGTTTAGGGTTTACGTATCCCGAAACCCCGAACCCTAATAACCCGCATAAACCTGACAACCCGAACAACCCTGATGACCCGAATAACCCTAATAACCCTAATAACCCGACTAACCTGAATAACCTGAATAACTAATTGCCTAATAACCCTGACTCTTAAACTCCACCTCCCCCCCCCCCCCCTTTCTCAGAGGTTTGCGGTGTGACGTCGTCCTACACTGAAGGAAACAACACCTTGAACCCCAGAAAGGAACCCACAGAAATGTACGAGGCAGGTCACATGAATGTAAGGACCATGGCACGTACAGTATCACAATCCTACTTTTCACACAAACCAGGTCCCCCCCGAAACCAAAACCCTAAACCCTAAGCCCTAAGCCCTAAACCCTAAACCCCAAACCCTAAACCCTAAGCTCTAACCCCCAAACCCTAAGCCCTAAACCCTGAACCCCAAGCCCTAAACCCTGAACCCCCAACCCTAAACTCTAAACCGTAAGCCTCCCAAAGTGTTTGTTTCGGCTTGGGCATCCCGTAGGCTTCCGGAAAGCCTCGGGGTAGGCCTAGGTCTACAGTCAGGGTGCTGTAGGGTTTAGGGTTTAGGGCTTGGGGTTTAGGGTTTAGGGTTTAGGCTGCCAGAAGGCTCAGGCTAGAGACTATGGTGGGCTGCTCCCCCTTTTACTAACAATCCTTCATAGGGATTATAGTACCCGAATCCCTATTTAGGACTGTGAGTATAAGGGGGAACATTCCAAGGTAGATCGAGAAGTCTATCGAAGGCCTGGGCCCAGGTTCCGAGATTACGATAGGCCTGCAGCAGGAAGGAGTCCATGGCTACGGGGTCCTACGCCCGTAGCCCCTACCAGAGCCAGAAGCGGGAAACAGGTCAGGCTCACCAGACCGCTTAGCCCCTGCACACTTGCATTCTAATACATTCCTGAACCATACACCCACACACAAAAAATTAAGAAAAACCAAAGATTAAATCCGGCAATTACTGAGTTGCTAAGTTCCCTCCATCGCAAACATTCTTCCCTAAGCCTGAAATCCAAAGCTCTTAAAGTCCGAAAAAGCTGACAACCCTTCAAACTACCTAAGCATCCAGTTGAGCTACCCTGCACCATAACCCTAGCAATTCCCAGAGACCGCCCTACATTCCCGTGAGTTCCCAAAAATCCCCTACACCCGAAATTCGAAACACTAAGCCCCTAAACCCTAAACCCTAAACCCCAAACCCTAAATCCTAAACCCTAAACCCTAAACCCTAAACCCCAAACCCTAAACCCTAAACCCTAAACCCTAAACCCCAAACCCTAATCCCAGCCAAGAGGGCGTAGTCATCTATGATGTCCATTGACAACTCCGAGGGCCGACGTCGGCGGACCTGCACTCCCCGAGCTTTGGGGTTTAGGGTTTAGGGTTTAGGGTTTAGGGTTTAGGGTTTAGGGTTTAGGGCTTAGGGCTTAGGGCTTAGGGTTCTAGAGGTTTTGGGGGTTAGGCTTTTTGGGGCTTGGGGTTTAGGACTTGGGGTTGAGGATTTTCGGGTTTAGGGTTTGGGGTCTAGGGAATGCAGGCAGCGGTCTTTTCCTCTAGGAATTACTGATGTCGGGCTTTTCGGAGAGTGGAAGGCCCAGGGAATGAGAATTTCAGGAACTCTGGAAACAAGGAGCTTTCAAGCTTCAGGGTTTTAGGGTCCAGCTGGCAAATTCACGGACGGCGTGGGGGCATGGATTGCGAGGCTGAGGACTTACCGCTCTCTGTATTTGCTGTTGTCGTGGGTGGTGGTCACTGGCACCCGTGCAGGAAGATTGGAAACCCAGTATAACCGCTTTATCAACCCTGTTTGGTATTGATTGCTTGTCTAAAGGAACGAAAGCCAAAACGGCAAAACCCTAAACCCTAAACCGGTACCATTGGGCGACATTTAGTCACTTCAGTTTGTTGTGGGGCTTTCGAGTTGAGCTGGCGCGGATTCTTGTTCTTTGGAACTAGGAACTGACATGGTCACTTCTCCAAAATATTGTCCCTTTTAGGGTTGCCAGTATGAGGCAGCCGCCCTAACACCTAAACCCTAAACCCTAAACCCTAGACCCTAAACCCTATTTCCTAAACCCCAAAACCTAAACCCTAAACCCTAAAGCCCAAACCCTAAACCCTAAACCCTGAATCCTACAGCTCCTGAGTCGAAGCGGCATGCTCCGCGAGCATCTCCTGCAGCTGATACGGGGGAACCTTCTCCCCACTCTTTTGAAGGATCTCCTGCGGATGGGGGGTTTAGGGTTTAGGGTTTAGGGTTTAGGGTTTAGGGTTTAGGGTTTAGGGTTTAGGGTTTAGGGTTTAGGGTTTAGGGTTTAGGGTTTAGGGTTTATTTTGAAGGATCTCCTGAAGGATGGGGGGCTGCTCTTCATTGCAGCGGCTTGGGGTTTGGGGTTTGGGGTTTAGGGTTTCGGGGTTCAGGGTTTAGGGCTGAATTAGGGTTTAGGGTTTAGGGTTCAGGTCAAAGTAGGGGTCCACTGCTTTGAGGGCAGAATAACAGAACTTAATCCTTGCTTGCGGGTGAAACCCTAAACCCTAAACCCTAAACCCTAAACCCTAAAGTCCAAACGAGGGTACCCATATTTCTCACTGAAATGCCCCCAGCGATGGGTTTTTTGGGGTTCAGCTAAACCCTAGACCCTAAACCCGAAACCCTAAACCCTAAACCCTAAACCTTAGGGTCTCAGGTTTCGGGTCAGTATTCCCAACTGTTCCTAAAGATGACCCTTTTATTCGGTTCTTTTGCTATTCAGTGATTTCCCTTTTTGATTTTTTATGCGTAGTCCGCTACGTACTGATTTCTTTTTCTTGATTCATTGCTTTCGCCTGTTGTCTATACACTTTTCTTATTTCGTTACTTCTTGATTTTTAATGCATGTATTTCTTGATTTCGATGTTTCTGCCGTTCCTTTGTTATTCACTTCCTCTTTGTTTGTTCCTTGATTTTAATGTTTTCGTTCTTTCTTTAGGCTTATTTGTCTCTCTCTCTCTCGAAGTTGATGATTGTCTAGGGTTTTTGTGGGGCTTAAGGCTTACCGTCCGTGTTTCAGGGCGGCAATGACCAGGCCGGGAAGCCGGAATTTAGGGTGTGGGGTTTAGGGTTTAGGGTTTAGGGTTCAGGGTTCAGGGTTCAGGGTTTTGGCTTAATGACGGGTGGGGAGAGGGGGGGCGGGGGGGTGGACCTAAAACCCCACTCTCAGGGCTCCAGGGGCCTGCAACACCCTCTCATGAGAAACCTGGGCTATGCATGGCGCCCATCCGTCACCCATTGACGAGCCAGCGAAGCAGCCAACTACGCGAGTATCAGGTGTTCTGCAGCGCTCGGGCTGTCGCCGTCTTAGCTGCTGCAACGCCTCTGATTTCCAGAACTCCCTGGCGTACCAGACTGGTCCAACTGGGGTGGACAAAGCTCGTGCTTCACTCACCCTGAAGGGAGCCCTTACATACCCTATAAAACCAAAGGGCAAAATACTTCAGCACCCATCGAAGAAGGTAAGGGACCATACTAAGGACCATGAAACTACCCTTAGACCCACCTTAAGCAGTAAGCCCTAGCCCCACGCGCAATTTACTAAAATCATGCAGCCTGATCCCTCAAACCAAGCACCCGAGACTGTTGTCTAAAGGGGGTCCATACTCGTGCCCCTAAGGGTCCACGCCGTAAAATAAACGCCACTACCCAAAAGCCTGCAAACCCAAAAACCTACCGCAAACCCAAAATCCAGTACACAACGACCTTATAAACTTGCTAAGCACCGAAAAACGAGCAGGACCCTAGACGCTAACAAAACAACCGCAACATTAGAAAGAACACTAAACCCTAAACCCTAAGCCCTGAACACCAAACCCTAAACCCTCAACCCTCAACCCCCAAGCCTAAACCCTAAACCCTAAACCCCAAACCTGGACGTCCTTCACAGGCTCGTTCACCACGAAGGGGGCCACCAGCTGCGCGTGCTTCTCCTCATGTCCGAAACCCTGAACCCTAAACCCTAAACCCTGAACCCTGAACCCTAAACCCTAAACCCCAATCTTAGCAACTCGGTGCAGCCATGTCCAGCCGATCCCGTCGACAAAAGTCTAAAACAAGTCAAATGCAATTCCGTGGTAGCCCAGAAGCCATATTATAATCCGGGCACCCCTTTTGGGGTTGGCTACTTTATAAGGGAACCCAGAAGAACTGGGTAGCCCTAAACCCTAAACCCTAAACTAATAAACCCTAAACCCTAAACCCTAAACCCTAAACCCAAAACCCTAAACCCACCAAAAGCTTGGGGTTTAGGGTATTTACCTTCTTAAGGGACCAATGCTGGTCCTGGAGACTGTAGGGGGGTGGCCGAGGCCTTGAGCTCAGGACCTAAACCCTAAACCCTAAACCCTAAACCCTAAACCCTAAACCCTAAACCCTAAACCCTAAACCCTAACCCCTAAACCCCTAAACCCCTAAACCCTAAACCCGGGTTGTGGGTGTGGGGTTTGGGGGGACGAAAGGCGAGAACTTCTTCGGCCATGTCTCCACGAGGCGGGTGCGGAGCTCGGAAAGCTGCTGCTGGAGGAACCTCGGCCGTAAACCCTCAACCTTAGGGTTTAGGGTTTAGGGTTTAGGGTTTAGGGTTTAGGGTTTAGGGTTTAGGGTTTAGGGTTTAGGGTTTAGGGTTTAGGGTTTAGGGTTTAGGGTTTAGGGTTTAGGGTTTAGGGTTTAGGGTTTGACCCCTAAACCCTAAACCCTAAACCCCAAACCCCAAACTTCCCCGTGGGTTTAGAGGTTCAGAGGTTTAGAGGTTCAGAGGTTTAGAGGTTCAGAGGTTTAGAGGTGTAGAGGTTTAGAGGTTGAGAGGTTTAGAGGATTAGAAGTTTGGAGGTTTAGAGGTTTAGAAGCTTGGAGGTTTGGCGGCTGAGGGTTTGGGGTTGAGGGGTTAAGGGGTTCAGGGAATATTTGGCGGAGGGGCACTTGGGTCCCCGACGATGGTCACTCTCCGGGTTCAGGGTTTAGGGCCTCCAGGACTTTTTGGCTTGGGGCTTAGAGGGCTCGTGGGTTTAGAAAAAATTTTGGTCTTTCAAAACACCTAAGCCCTTCGCCCTAGGCCCTAAGCCCTAGACCCTAAGCCCTAAGCCCTGAACCCTGAACCCTGAACCCTAAACCCTAAACCCTAAACTTAGCGGGCCACTTTCGTTTAGGATTCATGGCCTGAGGCTTCCATGGCGTGTAAGGCTTTAGGCTTGTAGGGCCTTAGGGCTTCAGGGCTTAGGGCTTAGGGTTTAGGGTTTAGGGTTTGGGGTTTCGGGTTTGGGGTTTAGGGCTCAGGGTGCAGGGTGCAGGGTGCAGGGTGTAGAGTTAGGGTTTAGGGTTCAGGGTAGCACGAAGTCGAGGGGCGCGTCATAGGTGACACTGGCCTCCATGGCGGCAGCAGCTATGACTCTCAGGGGAACCTGGATGCACCTCGACCTAGACGGGTTTAGGGTTTGGGGTTTAGGGTTTAGGGTTTAGTGTTTAGGGTTTAGGGTTTAGGGGATCTGTAACAATGTACCCGAAACCCTAAACACAAACACATCTCTGATGACAAGCCCAGCGAAGCTTGGAAACCCTCGCAGGCCTAAATCCTACACCTTGAACCCTATAAACCTTAGCCTCAGACCCTAAACTCGAAACCCTAAACCCCAAACACCGAAGAACGGGAAAGCCTCCAGGGGGCCTAGGGTTTTGGGTTTGGGCGCTTAGGGATTTAGGGGTTTAGGGGTTTAGGGTTTAGGGGGTGTTTGGGGTTGTTGTGAATTTTGTGGGACAGTCTTGAGCGT